GTTATCCGGTTTGCGCTAGGAAATTTAAGTTCATAAACTTACCTCCAGTTTTGCGCTGTACATTTTCTTCACATTCGAACGGGCCTCCAGTTCCTTCTTCCTCTTTGACAATTGCGAAATTTGCGCATCCTCAATACGGTCGGTTTTGGTTGTGTTCATCTCCTTCAGCGTCAAGTCCACGCTTTCGCCATTTACCACAATATTTTCACTGTTATCGTCTTCGTCACTATCCAATGTGCACAACGCCTTCTCCATAGCACCGTTAAGCTCTTCTAATGTGAATGTATCATTGCGCATTTGCAATTTCGTTTGATTTTTTTCGTACTGTTTATGAAAAGCGTATATTTTTAAAATACGTGGGAAAAATTGCTCTTTTTCATCTGAGGTAAGCATGTCAAAATTCTTCTGCACACTGCCGTTATTAGTGGTGGACGCGATTGGTGTAAAACCCAATAAATACACCTCTTCTTCCAACACACGGCGTGGCGATTTATTTATGGCCGATTTATCGATCATGCGTCTAAGAAATTGATAAAAGCACTCCCATTCGGTCCAGCAATCAATAATGATATGTCTGTGTTTTTAAATGGCATACAATTAATATTAGCTTTGTGTGTGATGTACAAATTACTAACTCTTCACTGCGCACCGACTCCCAAATGTCCACATGACGCGCCAACCAGTCCATATAGACGTTTATATATTGTAGTAAAGTATTTAGATCGGCATGACTGTAGTTAAAAAATCATTGTATAGAAGCATGACATATAAATGCAGGATGCGACAGCTTACCAAAGCATTTCACTATCCAATATGTCAACTTTGAATGTTTCGTATAATTGATTGCACTTCTGTAAGAGCAGACCAAGGAACTGATTGCAAAAATTAAATGCATAGTAGCGGATTTCACGACGAGATTCTGATTTAATATTTGGAATTATTAATTGTACTATATATAATATCAAGAGCACCTCTACTTACCTTTGTGCATATTCTGCTCGAGTATAAAAATATTTAATGCCACTATTTTGAGTAGACGAGATCGTTTCATTGGGAATGGGCTGCGACTTAATAGCACATTAAGCTCCGCCAAAAGTTTGCGTTGCTGTTCGACAATAGACTCCATGCTTTAATTATGAAAAAAATATAAATAAATTTGTGTTATCAAATACATAAAAAATAAAAATATTATTTACCCTATGCCAGTGTATAGTTTTCCAATTACATACAAATACAGCGATGTAAATCGACGCAGAAGCTAAAGTAGTAGAATTTTTATTAGAATTTGTGGAAGGGATAATAATTCTATTATAAAATGTACACTTACCTCTTCGCTTGTCAACTCTTTCAACTTTTTTTCCTCTACTAGCGCAGCACTTTTGCTTTTAATGTTGACCGTTTCAGAGGAATGATGCAAGCGCCGCACGCCGTCCACGTGTATCCAAACTTCTTTACGCAACGACTTCGAATTTTTACTGTGATTATATCGAGGGCTACCCTGATGCACCGGCGAGTTTTTTAATTCAGTCTCCTCATACTTTAAAAACATTTAGTTATATTTAATTTTCTTGTTTATTTCATTTAAATTTACCTTTTTACGAATCTCATCGAACAAAACCAAAAGGCTCTCACGTGCTGAATATATAGCATTAGAGGACATTAAGCTACGCATGTGGAAATAAACGGCGTCGAATTTCTTGCGCTACGTTGTTAAAAAAATTATATAATTACTAAAATAGAGGAACTGTCAAAACGTTTAACTTACCGCATGTATGGATACGATGGCCAATTGGTTATAGGGTATGCCATTTGTTGGTATCAAAACTTGTGCTTGCTGATAATATTTGGCTGCGTCGGTATAATCATTTGTTTGCAGTTCCTTAGTTTTGTAGCGACAAAGGTCACCCAGACAAATTAGTAGCTTCTGGGCAGCTACTTTGGCGATAAATTCAAATTTGTGCGTTGAACGTTGTGGTGGTACTTCTTTTTCTATGCTAATATTGTTTTCTGGGTGTTGTAACAGAATATTTGTTTGCTTCTGAACGGTATTTATATATTTTGCATTAAGTTTCAAATGTAGATTATTGTAGAAATCTAAACCCTCGTCAATAAGTAAAAGGAATCTATTGTGTGTATCATCAGCAGTTAGCTTGCTATTTGATATGAAATATTCTCGCACATTATAGTACAGCAACTTCCAAAAAAATGTGTCAATTTTCTGTTCACAGCATAATTTCAACTGCTGCAGTAACAAATTCGTAAATATATTTTGAAGCTCTACGCGTGCTTCATTAAACTCAGACCAATTCTAAAATATAAATATTAAAA